ATTTTCGATGATTAGCCTGAGCCCTGTATAGAGGAATACGCTTAATGTTTCATTTCTTACCGCCCGTTACCATTATTGACAAGATATGGGGAGATGGAGGTGAAGGAAACAAAAAAAAGAAAAAATAAGTATTTTTAAATATATGTCGTATATTGTAAGAAACAGTAGCTGTACAATTTTATTAAGAGAATAAACCCTTAAGCATGATCATTCTGGGCAGCCGTGGTGCTCCGCACGAAGGAGAGGTACTCATGGTTATACAGGGAGAGTAGCTCCACCAATAACTGATAAAGAGCCGGCGACCACAGGCCTTTCTTTTCCAAAACCAGCCGAAGATCGTCCAATATGTTGTCCCTGGAGGCGTCATCCCCGTGGCGATCGAGCTCCGCAATCAGCGTGTCTTTGCAACTGTTAGCGCTATATAGCTGCTATACTGGATAAGGGATACCGCGATTTCACACGGTGTAGCGTGACGCTGGGTTTTATCGATGATCAGCGTTGTATCGATAGCCCTTACGTACAGCGCGTATGCACCCACGAGTGGCTAGCAAAAGACGAGTGGCGTATGTCCGACGACGGTAGCCCCAAGTGCCGCATCACATATCGACGCCCGATGAGCAGATCAGCCCTAGCGATGCTACGGAGGAGGTGTGAACGGCCCTCACCGGAGGAGCAGCGCTATCGGTGATCTCGCGTAGTCTGTTTATTTGGACGGTCACGCAGCGCAAGACCCTTTGGAGATTGAGATACGACACCCTCTTCATTACGACCACGGGTGTGTACGCTCTAGCTCTTCTAATGCCCGTGTCGTCGTTACTCGTACATATCGCCACCGATGGTTTGAAAATAATGGCCAGCTCGCCGTATGAGTACGTGAAGATTATTTCGTGAGCGGGCGTGGAAATAGGTGTGTTAAAATCCTCAGGTACCTCCTTGATGTTGTCCTCGGCGACGAAGAACCTGTCGATGACGGGGAAGTGTTCGGCGACGATGCCCCACTCGCTAGGTTCAAACTCCACACCGGAATAATCTTGATTAACGAGACGTATTACAGGCGACAAGCTTCCCGATCGATTTAAAGAGAAGCCGGTAATAATTTATTTCGAAAACGAGCGGTTTAACCCGTACACAGTGGACAGTAGTACTTCCTTCTCGTATATGATGATTATAGGAAGCGTTAAAATACGATCAGTGCGGGTGTCTGAGCAGTACTGCCTAAGGTGGTGAGGCCTGTGATACTACCGGAGCTATCTATAGCTGCTATACTGGATAAGGGATACCGCGATTTCACACGGTGTAGCGTGACGCTGGGTTTTATCGATGATCAGCGTTGTATCGATAGCCCTTACGTACAGCGCGTATGCACCCACGAGTGGCTAGCAAAAGACGAGTGGCGTATGTCCGACGACGGTAGCCCCAAGTGCCGCATCACATATCGACGCCCGATGACCAGATCAGCCTTAGCGATGCTACGGAGCAGGTGTGAACGGCCCACACCGGAGGAGTTACCGCGCCACGCACCTATGCGTCTGGAATCGCAGGCGTGGTTGGCGGCAT